TTACTTTGATTGATTAAGTCCTTAAACTTTTTCTAAATAAATGAGTTATCGCACTTTTAAAAATTGGTTACCTATATCCTTTTAAACCAAAAGAGTTATATTAATCAACTGGTAAAAGTTTGATGGTTTTTTTTCTTTAAAAATCCAATGTTAACCACAAAGGATGGTGTCTGATTGGTTTGAACTTGGCTCAAAAGATTAAAAATGCACAAAGGTCCCAGGTTTAAATTCAAGGAGAAATAAAAAATCTTTTTGTGGCCATGAAGATTCAAATACGGTGAATTCGAGCTCCCCGTAAAGCAGGTGGGATTAGTCGGCTCGTATAGCGGGTTGGATATCTAGATAATCAAAAAAAGTTCGATGGTTTATTTAATTTTTCTAGAAACTTTAGGATCTTAATCATTAAAATGTGAAAAAGTTTAATAGTTACTTTATTCAAAAAGGTAGTTCATGAACTTAATCATTTAAAATAAGAAAGTTTAATGGTTTTTTTCATTTAAAAAAATAGTTTAGGGACTAAACCATTCAAAATGAGAAAGTTTGTTGGATTTTTTTGGATTTTTCTCTTTGTTTCTCAATTAGCATAACAAATGTTTCATGTTTTTCAATTTTGTAACCGTAAATGTTATAACAATCGATAACGATGTTAATTGGTAGCAAAAATACACATATGTAATGTGGCACAGTAATTGTACAAGTATACAGCACTATGAGTTTGCTTTCAAGTAATAAAGTGATAAAAATACCGAGATCGTATACACAGGGATCGGACTTCAAAGTTTCGAAGACTATGTCGAGAATACACTGATTTCAATTAGAGAAGAAGAAAACATATTTGAGCAAGTTTGATGCTTTTAACAATGAAATCTAAATAAATAAATAAAAATGGTACACGTAAGTTTCACTTATGTCAAAATAGTCAAAAACTTTATGTCACAATAACGTTTATAACGATCTCAATCTTTCGAAAGCGAATCTTTATAGATCGTGTCCACAAAATGCCCATTAAGTCACCGCTATTGCCGATTCTTAATTTTGCTGACTTAACTAAGTTGACTAAAAAGATCAAGTTCGATTAACATGAAGATTTATATCTAAATCTCTTTGTGATATAATTCTCGACCAAAGTTTGAACCTTAGCAAATCATACAAAACCCGCATTTGTACATGATTATCAAAGTCTTTCTCAAATTTGTGTGCATCACTTAAGCCATATCTCGAATCCGCATATCTCTAGGTCTAAGATCTAATATTAACACTCCAAAATGATCAACTTATCTGCGTTGAACTTAATCCCCGACTCAAGTGACAAAACTTAAGAAATAGCAACGAAGACAACACCCAAGTGTTGCCTACTAGCTTTAAGTTTGACTCACACACACACCCAACGAGTGCTTAGCTAATAATAGTAAAGAACATAGGGGGTGTTTGGAATTGCTTACAAAAAGAACTTATTGACTTATTCCGGTGTGACATCGGTAATAAGCACTTTTGAGTGTTTGGATAAACAACTTATATCGATACCAAACCGGTAATAAGAAGTTTTTGAAGAAGTTATACCCTTCTGACTTATAATAAGTTGATAAGTGATTTTATAGAAAAGCATAAGTTATTTCAAATAAGCAATCTCAAACATCCATATAGTAAAAGAAGTTAAATACTTAAAAGCTAATTGCACTGAAAGTAAAATACAAAATGTGCCCACAGTGGGCAACAACTGTAAATTAAAGACTTGAAAAATAAATTATAATTGTAATTTAAAATGTAAAAACAAATGGGAACTTTTACATTGTCGGAGTTCTGTCTTAATGCTTCACCAAGGCCTCTTATTTACAGGTGGAAGAGTGTTGACCTTTGCCCCATGGATGAAAATATTTTTTAATCTTTTAGTACAAAAGATGATCACTATTCAACCCATCCTCTTAAAGTCTTCATATCTTTTGACATCTGCAGATCTTTAAGAAATCTTCAAACCACTGCTCCTAGTAACCAGATAATAGAAAAGCACGATTTTGTCCAAAACAAGCTCGTCATTGTCAACAGTGGGCACATCTGCAGTCTAACATTTAACAAAAAATGACGCGTCTGACCATCAAAACTACAAACTTTTATTCTCAACACGAACACATAAAAAGGAAACACAACCAAAACCGAAGAAAAACTCACACAAATGATGTGTAAATAACGCTAAAAATAAGAGTTATCACATCCCTACTTGTTATTTGTCCCCAAGTAACTAAAAAGACAAAATAAAAAACTAATGAAGATAAATACACAAGAAGACTAAGTCATGTGTCATTATGCACAACTTCGACCATGACTAGGTTGCAAGCCAATCGCTAGCACACTCATACATTAATCATGTTCTGTAATTAAATTTAATTTCAGTGCAAAATCAGATATAATTTAATCATTTTCGTATTATAGACATTATCATCTTCATTATATTAATTTTAGATAAAAAAATTAATCAAAATATGAAATGTTAAAAAATAATAAATACTAGATAAATAAAAACGATAAAGTTTGAATCTTTATAAATAAAGTTTAACTCCTATTGTACAAAAGATTAATTAAAGTATAAAGTTAAAACATTTATTAATAAAGATGATAACTTTATTATCCGGAATCGAAACCCTAAACCAATTACTACCACACTGATTGAATTTATCCTTCGGGATAGATTCAATGAAAGAAAGGAGTAGAATGTAATATACGAAAATTAAAACCAACATGTTTGAAGTGATGTTGAATCAAGATCTACACGGTAGAAACATCTATTTAAAAGGTTTTATACGACTACTCTAATATCTTGTGAGTCTATTAGTGGCAAAGCCCCAAGATTTGATGCAGTAATATGTTTTGTTTATCAACAGCTTCGATAACGAAACTAAAAGCAAGACGGATGCAGAATAGATGGTAGTAGAACATTGTTTGAAGCAGAAAGTCGAGAGAGAGGGAGAGCGCAGATGATTTTTTAAAGAAATTCGCGAGAGAAATCGATGATTTTTGGTGTGTGTTTTGAGGTGGTGCGAAATGCACCTCCTCACGTGACTTTCACAAATCCCTCAACCTCAGCCACAAGCATGCATGTGTGTTGGATCTTTCACTCATGACCTCCACTATGAGTCCACCAACTTATTCAAAGCCCAATTGAATAAAAGCCTCTAAAATTGTTCTATCTATCGATGTGGGATGGAGGAAAACCTCCAACCTCACTAACATTTCCAACAAAAAATATATGAAACAATTTCATTTTTACATGAAAACAAAAATATATGAAACAAGTTCACCAAGCAAAGAATTGTATAAAATAATTTCATCATATTAAACAATTTTATTAAATTAAACAATGAAAT